TATACAGTGGAATCTCATTATAACAGCAATGAGATAATTATAAGATCCCCAATCCCAAATTGTATTTTCCATTTTTTTTTTAACTGTGATCAATATATAAAATCTTGAAAAAAATTAATCTAGCACCATTGATGATTGAAATTTAAAAATGTAAAATATTGATATGCTTTGATTGAATTTGTTTAAACATTTTTATCCAATGTAAATAAAGAAAGCTTGTCCACCAGGTTTATATATCCAAAGTAACATAATCAATTCTCTAACCTTAAAAAAGAAATGTGAAAAAAAAAAAAAAAGATGATTCCAATAGATTGTAAAATGTGCTTGTGTGTTCTACTTGTGTACACTTGAGATAATTGTTGGTTACATCAGAGGGCCGTACATTAATTTCCACTGGTAGGGATCAAATATCAGGATAATTGCATATTTAGAGAACCAGCATTATCATTTTTTTAATGTATATTTATTGATATTTTTATAAAGTACAGTGTGTAAAACTTTTTTTATTATTATACCTAGTACACGTGGTACAGGCCATGATAATCATGGTGGGTAGAAGTTGGAGACTGCTTTTACTGTAAATGCACCACATGTCTACACATGTGTAAAGCAGTTCGACTTTGCACTTACAAATGTGCCAGGGCCCCGTTTGGCTACTTGCACTCGCTGGTGGGGTTGGACTTTGCAAGAATCAGGGCCATTGTAGCATTTTTTTCTCAATCAGAAAAAAGTGCATAAAGTGGGATTCGATCCCAGGTCGTAGCGGTCGAAAACCAATGGTTTAGACCACCCTTCTACCGGCCCCCCGTACTAAAATGAACTGGAAATGGGATGAACCTTCTCTTAAAACAAACTATAAATAATATCTTTTTTTAATTTTTCATAATAGAGAACCATTGCTATAGTGACCAAAGTTTAGTCCCATTGGGGCTGATAATAGCGAGATTTAACTGCATGTAATAAATACATGATGAGCATCCAATGTGTGTAGCTTGGGTCCCCCTCCTAAATAAAAGCATACATTACAACTAGGATTCAGTAAGGTGGCCTTCGTAGGAGAAGTATTTTGAGGAAAGTGCCAAGGGGAGTGGATAGAAGTTTCCTCATAATCAATTTAGTAGGATAATAACATTAAGGTTTTCTTGGAGAAGTGGCCATGCTTACATGTGCGTCATTGTCCATGTTATTTCTAACAACCTCTCTCCATTTATGGCAGAAAATAAGGCATGAGCTTGTACTAATTCTATATAGTAAAACCTCAACTTTTTAAAAAACCTCTCAAGTACACGTGGTGCAGGCTATGATAATCATGGTGGGCTGTTAGCGACTGGCTTTTTTGTGGGAGCTCTACAAGTCTACACATGTAGAAAGCATGATACAGTATATATATATATATATATATAATTTTGATTATAGATTACAAAATAAGGCAACAAGACAAAATCTCAATACAGTATAACCTCGTTAATTCGACACACACAAATTCAACACTCTACCTTAATTCAACCACTGATGTCCTGACCTCCGGCCTATCAAATAACAAACCGTAATTTGACAGTATCGATAATATGACAGTTCCAATAGTTCGACCATTTTAAAATTCGAATTTCGACAGATGAATGTTTTTTTTACTTACAACTTTACCGCTAAACGGTATTACATTGGTGGCGGCGATCGTCGGGCGCCGATAAGATCGCGCCTGCGCACTTTTGTTTTCTGTTAGTTTTAAGTTTCACTTTGCAGTGACGTTGCACAATGTCGCGAGTGTTGTTTGTTTTTTACGCAGTAATTTAGAAATTGTGCGCTAATTGATAATATTATTTTCTTTTTAATTTTCAGCATTGAAATATTTTGGTTGTTTTAAAATTTACAAATAATTTCCTTTTAAATAAATAAATATTCATAAAATGTGGCCACAATGATTTTGATAACATTTTATTTCAATATTCCATTTCCATGTTATTATAAAAGATTTAAACACAAAATCAATAACACCTGCAGCAGCAGTGGATGCCTTTAATACAATAAAAGCTCTTTGTTATTTAAAACACATTCCAGAGGAAGAAAGACATGCATGTTTTTTTTAAATAGACCATCTGGAACACATTATGAATAGGATTTCAGTGCAAAAACAGACATCTATAAAGGAATTTTTTAAAAGATCTCTCTTCATGATTATTTTTAAATAATATTTTCAAATTTTTTTATTTTCCATATTTATTTCCTTTCAACTGCTATATTCTTCAATTAGAATAAAATATTATTTGTAATTATTTTTGTTTCAAAAATATGTATTACTAGCCGAATGACCCGGGCAACGCCCAGGTTTTACCCGATTAAATGTTTTTATTCAAATACTATTCGTTACAATTATAAATTGGCGCCGTGGATGTCACTCTTGTGAAACGTCCCACTCCAAACTTTGTGTCAGAGAAGCGATATTTTTATAAAGAGATGATCTGGCTTTGTGTCTTCTGCTTGAATGAATGTTTTTCTGTTATAATTTTGTTCCTGCACACTAAAAATGAACTGGCTTCACCCGTGGTCTCAGCTTTTTGGAATTTTTCCCGATATAATTTTGTATCTGATAATCAAACATGATACAGCAATATTGTCATCATCATTTTCTGACTAAAAAACAACTATTTTTGCCCACAACCTGTCAATTTTATTTTTTATTGGCTAAAAATCCGATAAATATCTCTTCCAGATTTTTCTCTATGTTCTGTCAAAACATGTTTTACATGTACATTTGGTCAGCTGATATTATCTCCCATCTTCACCGCTAGAGGTGCTGCTTGCGAGCGAAAAGGCAAATTTGCAACGCAATTTGCAAATAACTCGAAGAATATTCGGGATAGAGACCTGAAATTTTCACTATAAGTTTTTCCAGATTCTACTCTATATACTGTTAAAATTTCAGTCAGATTAGTTACGTATTGTGGACGTGTATAGCCGACATAGATACCTACATACATACACTGACTTTTATATATATAGGGATTGCCAATTTGTCCCTGATACTAAAGTTAGTCATGAAAATAAAAAATGATACAAAAAAGGACACACAAAATGGTTCCAATTAATATGATCAATTTATATTACAAAGCTATTTTTAAAAACATATTATTTTAGCAAGTTAGATGATTAGCTAATCATCTGAATAACTTTAATTCAACACTTCCTTTAATTCGGCCGAAAGCTCTGATCCCTTGGGGTGTTGAATTAAATAAGTTTGACTGTAAATTGTTTGCGACATTTCGGTAAAAACACTGTTACTGAAATGTTACACACAATTTATTGATTTGGATTTAATCTTTTTACCTTATGTAGAAAGCATTTTGACTTTTGTACTTTTTTTTTACTTTGGTGCCAGAGCCTTATTTTTAGTTACTTGCACACACTGGCTTAGCAGGACTTGCACAAGAATCGGGAAACATTGAAACAAAAAAAAAAGTTTATTAAAATCAACAAGCCATACAGGGCTAGGTTTCTCTGACTATTTCTCTAGCTTTTGGGTCAACATGACCTTCAACAGGAGAAGTAGAACTATGACATCCAGCTAACTATACATACCGAAAAAAGTGTGAAATTTGCTTACTTAATTTTTTATTAAGAAAATATATGATGATAAGTTTTCAACTACAGTCGAACCTCTTTAATTCAACACCCCAAGGGATAAAAGCTTTCGGTTGAATTAAAGTTAGATGATTAGCTAATCATCTAACTCACGAAAATAATATTTTTTTAAAATTGCTTTGTAATATAAATTAATGATATTAATTGAAACCATTCTATGTGTACTTTTTTGTATTTATTTTTTTTATTTTGATGATTAACTTTTAGTATCAGGGACAAAATGGCAATAATACATATTTTTGAAACATATTAATTACAAATAAAATTTATTCTAATTGAAGAATATAGCAGTTGAAAGGAAATAAATATGGAAAATGAAAAGTAAATTTAAAAATAATATTTAAAATTAATCATGAATATCTTTTTAAAAATTCCTTCATAGATGTCTGCTTTTTCACTGAAATCCTATTCAAAATGTATTCCAGATGGTCTATTTAAAAAAAAAACATGCATGTCTTTCTTCCTCTGGAATGTGTTTTAAATAAAAAAGAGCTTTTATTGTATTAAAGGCATCCACTGCTGCTGCAGGTGTTATTGATTTTGTGTTTAAATCTTTTATAATAACATGGAAATGGAATATTGAAAAAAAAAATGTTATCATAATAATTGTGGCTACATTTTATGAAGATTTATTTATTTAAAAATAAATTATTTGTAAATTTTAAAATAACTAAAATATTTCAATGCTGAAAATTAAAAAGAAAATAATATCATTAATTAGCACACGAAGCCTAAATTCCCGCGTAAAAAAAAACAATAACACTTGCAACATTGCGCAACGGCATTGCAAAGTGAAACTTAAACTAACAGAAACCAAAAGTGTGCAGGCGCAATCCTATCGGCGCCCGCCGATGCCGATTGTCGCCGCCGTAATTACCGTTTAGCGGTAAAGTTGTATGTAAAAAAAACATTCAACTGTCGAAATTCGAAATTTTAAATGGTCGAACTATCGGAACTGTCGTATTATCGATACTGCCGAATTAAGGTTTGTTATTTGATAGGCCGGAGGTCGGGACATCAGAATATGGTTGAATTAAGGTAGAGTGTCGAATTTGCATGTGTCGAATTAATGAGGTTATACTGTATATATATACAAAATCAGCAGACCAAGACTATGCTCCCACAGTACCTCTATACACTCAAAAATCTCCAACAGCAAAACAAAACATAAATATTGGCTAACAAAGGATTTTAATTGTATCTATTGCTTTGAATGTTTCTGGCAGATAAATACTACGGTTTATACTGTTAGTTAGCTGGAAGTCACACTTCTAGTTCTGCTGTTGAAGGGTGCGTTGGCTTGAAAGCTGAGGAAATAAAAATAGTTAAAGAAACCTGGCGTTTTTTTATTTTAATAAATTGTCGGTAGTTGGTGGAAGGCTGGTTAAACCGTTTGGTTTTCGGCCACTAGGACCCGGGTTCGATTCCCGCATTGGACACTTTTTTCTGTTTAAAGAAAAAAAATGCTCCAATGGCCCCCGATTCTTGCAAAAGTCCAACCCCACCAGCGAGTGCAAGTAACCAAACAGGGCTCTGGCATTAGTAATGCAAAGTCGAACTGCTTTTCACATGTGTAGACAGCAGTCGCTAACTACCCACCATGATTATCATGGCCTGCACCACGTGTACTAGGGATAAGCAAAAAAAAAAAAATAATCTACTTATATATTTGCCTTATTCTGTCTGTTTGTTTGTCTGAAGCTCACGGATGGGAATTTTCATAACCATCGGTGGTTCAGTGGTAGAATGCTCGCCTGCCACGCGGGCGGCCCGGGTTCGATTCCCGGCCGATGCATTTTTTTTTTTTTTTACAATTTTCAAAACTCATTTATATATTATACAAGAATGACATCCACGGCGCCAATTTATAATTGTAACGAATAGTATTTGAATAAAAGCATTTAATCGGGTAAAACCCGGGCGTTGCCCGGGTCATTCGTATATAATAATTGTATAAACGAATGCAAGACAAAATCACCGCAAATGTTTCTTTTTTTTAAGGCAATTTCTTTTTAAGGCAATTATCGTTATTTATCGTTAATTTTTGTTTGGATTTTATTGAAAAAAAAAAACGATATGGTGCCTTTAAAAAATGATCTTTATTACTATGCAGTTTTCTATTTAGTCAATATACCTAAGTTCATGTTGCAAATGTAATTATCTCTATCGATTTAGTAGGTGAAATGCAAAAAAAAAATCGACATGATGAAATCTTTATGAAAATTCACATTTTTATTTTTATATTTTCAAGACACACACAGTTTGGGGCGGGACGTTTCACAAGAGAGACATCCACGGCGCCAATTTATAATTGTAACGAATAGTATTTTAATTAAAACATTTTAAAAACACACAGTTTGGAACGGGACGTTTCACAAGAGTGACATCCATGGCGCCAATTTATAATTGTAACGAATAGTATTTGAATTAAAACGTTTTTAAAATATATACGCACTCTGGTAAAACCCGGGCGTTGCCCGGGCCATTCATCTAGTAATAAATAAATAATAATAAATTGTAAAGGGAGGGATGAACATGTACTAAAAAAAAGTTATCAATGTGGGATTATATTCTGGGTGGAGGTTGTCAAAAATCAATCCCTTTACATTACAAACCTCCCATTATCTGAAGTGCAACTACCTTTCTGAGTGACCACATTTGTAAGGTCAAAACTAACATGTCTCATCTAATCTTTCTTCCTATTAGAGACCAGAACATTTCTTTTTAGAGTGTACAAATGTCACATAGATTCTACTGTACCTAAAAATTAAGGGTTTAAAAAAAAAAAAGAAACTTTTCCGGATTTTGGTGGAAAAATGACTAATGATGCTTCCAAGTATGTTTGTGAAAATATGCATAACAGATATCTTATCAATGTTAATTATTAAAAAATGTGCAAAATTGAATATTCAAATATGATCCAATTTTATTTAAACCAAGCCATATATTAAAAAAAAATCAGTGAAAGCAAGAAAAAAAATTGTTCAATCATGATTGAGCAAGTAGGAGTCTACTGACCATTAGCAATGCCTAGGGCAAGTCAATTTATCTGGTTCCCAGTCATGGCGGCTCCCCTTGACCATGTGGCAATCAACAACGACATCTCAAGGTGCTTACTGTCCTAGCCGGGTTTCCTCTTGTAACAACCCATTACCTCCTCCTTACCTGGAATAGAATTCAACTGGGTTTACCTAGTTTCACCTACGGTGATTATCACAATACTGACTCATTATCTCCTTCAACTTCTCAGAAGAATAAAGTGAAATAGAGTTCAACTGGGTTTACCTAGTTTCACCTACAGTGATTATCACAATACTGACTCATTATCTCCTCCAACTTCTCAGAAGAATAAAGTGAAATATAGTTCAACTGGGTTTACCTAGTTTCACCTACAGTGATTATCACAATATACTGACTCATTATCTCCTCCAACTTCTCAGAAGAATAAAGTGAAATAGAGTTCAACTGGGTTTACCTAGTTTCACCTACAGTGATTATCACAATATACTGACTCATTATCTCCTCCAACTTCTCAGAAGAATAAAGTGAAATAGAGTTCAACTGGGTTTACCTAGTTTCACCTACAGTGATTATCACAATACTGACTCATTATCTCCTCCAACTTCTCAGAAGAATAAAGTGAAATAGAGTTCAACTGGGTTTACCTAGTTTCACCTACAGTGATTATCACAATACTGACTCATTATCTCCTCCAACTATACTCAGAAGAATAAAGTGAAATAGAGTTCAACTGGGTTTGCCTAGTTTCACCTACAGTGATTATCACAATATACTGACTCATTATCTCCTCCAACTTCTCAGAAGAATAAAGTGAAATAGAGTTCAACTGGGTTTACCTAGTTTTACCTACAGTGATTATCACAATACTGACTTACCATTAGAAGGTAACAAGTGTTGTTACCGAAATTTCATGAACAGTTTATAAATTTGAATAGTCTCTTGTTACCTTATGTTAAAAATTTGAATAATTTTCATCCCCCCCCCGAGTTTAACTAGGTTCATCTATAGTAATGACTAGCTGAATGACCCGGGCAACGCCCGGATTTTACCCAAATGCATATAAATTTTTAAAATGTCTTGAATCAAATACTATTCTTTACAATTATAAATTGGTTCCGAGGATGTCACTCTTGTGAAACGTCCCGCTCCAAACTGTGTTTTAAAACTATAAAAACAAATATGTAAATATGTAAATTTTCATAACGATTTTTGAAAATTGTATTATTTTGACTTTTATATGAATATATTTTAAATCTGATATATACTTAAAATGATGATAGCAAGTGATTTCTTGACCCTACGCTGTCATTACATCACTCTTGTGAAAAGTCCCGCTCCACCAATCTCTGCAGGCCATGGGAGGGCCCCACGTGGTTGTTTACTTCTCAAAGTTGCCGCAGTGAGGCGGCGCTGGTTGTGAGTGAAATAGGGAAATTTTATTAATAATTTGTTAATAGCTCCAAGGATATTCGAGATAGAAGCTTGAAAATTTGCCTATTCCCTTTTCCAGATTAAACTCTATATACTGTCATGTGCGGTTGCCGATATTTGTAGCACATTGTGACACTTTTAAGCACGGTGAGCATGCACCAACTACGGCCTCTATGTCTTGCATGCCAAGTATTGTATTTTTAGCAAATAATTTGTATTTAAAAATGAATTGTTTAATGTTGTCAAAATTTGATTTTAAAAATCTGTCAAATTATTGATGGTGTTGAATTATCATTTGGTTAAATTAATGTTTAATATTTGATAGACAATTGACAATTAAAATAATTTTATTGTCAATACATGCAAATTGATATTTGATGGAAAGTCAGGACATGAAAACGTGGTCGAATTATCGCCAGTGTCAAATCATCATGTGTATAATTAACAAAGTTATACTGTATACACACACACACAAAAGCCTTTATTAAGACACACAGGTCTTACAGAGGATTCTCCTTGGGGTTAAGTTATACTGTATTACAAATACAACAGCTGAGTGCCAATGTGCAATTTTCTTCTCATTTCTGTTCATTTCAAACTCTTAACCTATGTGAAAATATGTATGGTTACATTTAATTTGCATATACAGTATATAGGTATCCTTATACATTTCAGCCGGTCAGCTGAGATCAATCTGGCATGTGAATGGCTCCACATTTTCTAGGATTTGAAAGAAACGTATATTGGTTTCTATATGACCTTTCTTTCTGATTATACATTCATTTATGTATGTCCACATTTTGTTTTGGACTTCTTCCAAAATCCCTGGATCTCTGCTACACTTTTTACTACATATATATATATATAGAAGCATAGGGCGCCTCTCCCGTCAAAATAAACGTCAAAACCTGACGCCACCTATTGACCGTCGCCGCAACTAGCGGCCTCGGGTCGGTGACAAAGCCACAACACCAGATTTGGCAAACTGAGAAGCGTCCACCTAAAGACCGTGGTTTCGGGCTAATGGCCCTCATCAGTCTAGGGCAGACTTTATTCCATAAAATCCACACAGGATCTAATGGAATCTTCACAATCTACCAAAGAGGTGTTTTGCTGGCAAGGTGGCTGGGCCAAATCTATGGATAGAATATAGATGGTAATTTTCTTGGAGGAAATTGATCCATAGAAGCATAGGGCACCTCCTCCCATCAAAATAAACGTCAAAACCTGACGCCATTTTGACGGGAGAGGCGCCCTATGCTTCTATGGATCAATTTCCTCCCGGCAAATTTTTCATCAATATATGTATAGTTTTGAAAATAAGAGCAATTCATATTTAATTCATTAAATAATAAAAAGGCTTATATTGGATTTATAATAAAATATTTATTTGCCAATATTTCGGTTGGCTGAATGCCAAACCTTTTTCAAGGCATTACATTTTTCTGATGTACCTCCGGTGAGTGACCGCCTCTCTGAATGACAACTTTTGAATATATCATTAGTTATCTGTATGAAGAGTGACAACTTTTTTAAAACCAAAAAATATATGTCCGGATATACACTCATGGACAAAACTTTAGGAAGTAGAAAGTCTTTGATATCACTGGTCGTCTTTTTTTTTTAAGGACAAAGTGACAATTTTGTTCACACTTGGTTATCTTGCGTGTCCTCAATAAAGATGACTGTGTATCAAATATCTTTGAGCTATTATCTGAATCCATGAGTGTAATCAATATAATTCTTTTGAACTCCATGGTACTTAATCTCTAAGTATTCTAGTCTGTTGTCGAGGTAGCAAGGCTATTAGTAAAATGGCAGTTTACTTATTTGAATCTGGTGTGTTTGATAGCAACATCAGATGACTCAGTTTCTAGTGGTAGTAGTGCTTTATAGTACTTAATCTCTTAGTACACATTCTGACAATGATTACAATGCTATTGCTGGATTCTTACAAATAGGTGCATCATTTGTAGCTTGGCTTTGA